TGGTAAATTACAAATAATATAGAAAGAACAATAAAACGAAAGAATAATAAATGAATACAATATAGTTGCCTTTAATATAAGGGCAAATATGGTAAGCCGTAATACAAGGCAAATTTAGATATTTCCCTTATAATAAACGGTCAACTATCCTTAACAACTATGTTATTTTTAATTTTATTGTTTTAAATTAATTGTGTAAGTCCATGACTTCAATTGTAAATGTTTTATTCCAAATTTCCGCATATGTTAAATAAGGCATGCACGTAGTGACGTCTCTAATTTAGGCAAAAAAAAAAAATTATGGGCATTATCGCTAGTATTAGAGCCCTAGGTTTTTAGATTTTGGAGACCGGTCTACGATGTAGGCCTAACATACTTCCATTGTTCTTCAGCAGACATACTTTTATTGTTAGGTATGTCCTACAAAAGATAATAAATGATGTTGTTTTGTTGTGATATGATTTACCTTGCACTGAATATGAAAATTGATGTATTGATACGGTTTAGATTTAGTAAGATTTGTATTGTGAAGGGGAAGTTGTAGTGTAGTAATCTACTAAAAACTAGTAGTGGAGTCTTTGTTTTATTAGGAAAAATAGGATTAGGGAAAAGAGGGTTCTTAAAGTTGGTATGAGGGCTCTAGGCTTATAAATTCTATCGACTAGTCTAAAATATAGGTCTACAATGATTCTATGGTCTTGCTGGAGACGTTTTGTCATCGTCAGATATGCTCTATGAAAGATAATAAATGTTATCATGATTTTTTCAGGCATGAAATGTAAATGCTATATGATATAGTGGTGATTCAAAACATGTTTATATTTAGTAAGGTTTGTATTGTGATGGTCGAGATACAGTCAAATGAAAGGAATTTAGTAAACTTCTCAAAACAATCGTAGTGAGAAAAAGTAATCCAATTTTGAAACCGTTTAAAATTGTCAAAACAAGATTAAACTTGTTATTGTTGGGGATCAAACTGAGGTCACTCGAGTGACAAGCAAGAATGCTCACCCTTATACTACAACGACCTCTGGAACATAATAACTCGAGTGACAAGCGGAAATACTCACCACTGTACCACTACAACGACCTCTGAAGCGGAAATACTCACCACTGTACCACTACAACGACCTCTGAAGCGGAAATACTCACCACCGTACCACTACAAGGACTTCTGAAAAACATATTATTTGTTAACACACAAGATTTCATAAACCATTTTTTAGGAAAAGTAATCCAGTTCTGACTTTCGTCAAACTACCGTTGTTGGGGATCGAACCCAAACTACCGGCATGACAGGTTCACCGCTGTCCAATTTCGAGTTCCATTAAAACTACCAAAATAAAATTAAAATCGCCGTTAAGGATCGAACTCGGGGCAGGAATACTCACCACTATACTACAACAACCCATAAAAAACAAATTATTTGTTAATGCTCCAGATTTTACCAATCGTCTTTAGAAAAAGTGACCCATTGTTAACGCTCTTGATTTTATCAATCGAAGATTCAAAACAAGTAATCAAATTTCAAATTCAGTGAAAATTGTCAAAAGAAAATTAAACTTATTATTGTCGGGGTTCAAACTCAAGCCTCTCGAGTGACAAGCGGGAATATTCACTACTGTATTACATCGACCTCTGAAAAATATATTATTTGTTAACACACGAGAGAAAAAGGGATCCAATTTCGAATTTCGTTGTTTGGGAACACCCCCAAATCATCTGGTACACCACTACCGAATTTCGAATTCAATTAAAACTATGCAAAAGAAAATTTAAATCGTCGTTGCAGGGGATCAAACTCGCGGGAATACCCACCACTCTACAACGACGACTTTCGAAAAATATAATATTTGTTAACATACAAGATTTTTATCAATCGCTGCTGTTACAAAAAGTAATCCAATTTTGAATTCGATTAAAATTTTCAAACCAAGATTAAACTTGTTGTTGGGAATCAAACCAGGTAACTTGAGTGACAAGCAGAATGCTCACCCTTGTACTACTACAACGACCTCTGGAACATAATAACTCGAGTGACAAGCAGAAATACTCACCAATATACCACTACAACGACCTCTGAAAATATATTATTTGTTAACACACAAGATTACATAAACCATTTTTTAGGAAAAACAATTCAGTTCGGACTTTCGTCAAACTACCGTTGTTGGGGATCGAACCCAAACTACCGGCATGACAGGTTCACCGTTGTCCAATTTTGAGTTCCGTTAAAACTACCAAAATAAAATCACCATTGCCAAGGATCGAACCCGGGTCACCTATGTGACAGGCAGGAATACTCACCACTATACTACAACGATTCATAAAAAATAAATTATTCGTTAACGTTCCAAATTTTACCAATCGTCTTTAGAAAAAGCGACCGATTGTTAACGCTCTCGATTTTATGAATCGAAGATTCGGAACAAGTAATCCAATTTCAAATCTGGTGAAAATTGTCAAAAGAAAATTAAACTTATTATTGTCGGGGTTCAAACTCTGGTCTCACGAGTGACAAGCGAGAATACTCACTATTGTATGACATCGACCTCTGAAAAATATGTTATTTGTTAACACACGAGAGAAAAAGGAATCCTATTCCGAATTCAATTAAAACTATCCAAAAGAAAATTAAAATCATCGTTGCGGGGGATCAAACTCGCGGGAATACTCACCAATATACCACTACAACGACCTCTGGAAACATTGTTAACACACAAGATTTCATAAACCATTTTTTAGGAAAAGCAATTCAGTTTGGACTTTCGTCAAACTACCACTGTTGGGGATCGAACCCAAACTACTGGCATGATAGGTTCACCGCTGTTCAATTTCGAGTTCCGTTAAAACTACCAAAATAAAATTAAAATCACCAAAAATTGCACAATATATCTCGAGATTTTTGATGAGGCTAGATTTGCGTCAGTAACTGACCCCACTTTCCCTTAAAACCTACATCTCATACCCTCATTCACACAACTATTTTCACTCCCATGTTTGCTAGTAATACACACCACTCTGAGAGTAAGAGATAGATAGATAAAGAGAAGGAAAACTTACTCATCTCGGATCTCAACAAACGATTCCAACCTCTTCCTCTCCGAGTCAGCCTCAGCGAAGAAGTAATTATAATTGTTCACCGGAGGAATCTTCATTGTGTTAATTATGGAATAGAAGGCAAGATACGTCACAGGAGATGAAGGGAATCCCAAAAATGATGATGGGTCTTGACAGGTGAGAAAGATAGATAGTTAAAGATATATGAGATATCTTATAACATTTAAATATAATTTAAATAATATATCATATCCTAATATATTAGATATTTAAATATATTATTTGATGAAATTCATTTAATATATTTATAAATATAACTGTCGGACTGAGTTAAAATATTTCCCACACTTTTTTTTTTGATGTGGAATTCTCTCTGAAACTCTATTCAAGGGATTTTATTTCCTTGATTTTATATTCGAGTTTTAGCTAAGAAGATTTTACGGAAGAGATTAAATAATAGTAGGAAAAAAAAAAAGAAAAGAAAAGAAAGAAGAGAAAGTTGTCCCACATAGGGACAAATGTACATATAATATATATTTAGACTATACAAAATAGAGTTTGAGTTTAAATACAAAAGAGGGGACGAAGCACAAAGGACAAGATCCCGACAAAAGTGTTTGTACAAAATTCGAGGATACTCTTGAACTAAGTTTGTCTCTATTTCATCTCCTTCACACCACTCTCATGGTTGATCACTGTCTAATCAATTGCCTAAAATTGGAATATGGATTGTATTATAAGGGTCTAAGTTTTGAGGCTTTAATTAGTCTATTGCCTAAGTCTTGACTTATGTACTTATGTGGTCTTTCATCCTTCTCAAGGTTTTAAGGAGACTAGATCGTACTAGGCTGTCCACTTCCTTTTTCACGCACAAGACATAGCTTTAGCCTTAATTAGAAATCTCCCATCAATAGACTACTGGATCATGTGGTCAATACTAACATCCTTAACCTAGTAAAACTTATGTCCATGATTAGAAATCTCCCATCAATAGACTACTAGATCATGTGGTCAATACTAACATCCTTAACCTAGTAAAACTTATGTCCATGATTGGGATTAAGGATACGAATCTTGTGTCAATTTTCATTTCACTATTTCTATTTATTGGAAGAGGATGGGAAAAGGACCCGCACGCAAAAGGAATGTGGTTCTGGTTGAGGCTTTGGAACCCATATTTACTCCATAATTGCTCTGACATTCCCTTGCATCCCCTATGATATGGTCATAACGTTCAGGACATGGATTAGGATTCAAATTAAATTTGACATCTATTGTCACAGCCCAATATTTTACTACGGACCGTGACTAACGACACGACACAAATGCACAAAAAGATTTAAATATGAAATAAAGAAAATCATCATATTCCAATAAAGTTTTTCGAACGACAAACACAGAGCATAAGACCATTTGGAAAATAAATTTCAAAAGAAAGCAAATATAAAAATAAAGACTAAGACTAGACTGACGCCCCGGGACAACCCATTCCTCTGTGACACTTCCTGTCTGATCACGCCCACTCTTGACTGACGCCTTGCGCTCCTGAAAAAAAAAAGGAAACATAGCAAGGATGAGTATTATACTCAGTAAGCCACCTAGTTGTAGGCTCTCTTCGCATCTTAATTTAACAGGTTACCACGGTTTCCTATTTCGGTTCTAAGACATCTGGTTCTAATCTTGGTCCCTTGGGGCTTGCCCCTTGGGTTTCACTGGTTCTTCATTCTTTCATTAGATGCCTAGAGGTCCTTTATGCTAAGCTAATATGGTTAGTATCTCTCTATGAAGTGCTACCTTTACATGGCTATCTGGGACTACATGGTACCTAGCCTAGGGGTGTGCTGAGTACCCCTACGCCCATCTAGTCCCCCTATGAGGGGCGCGACCCTACCCGTTCCCATGCAGCTAATGGGCTGTACAACGTGGGAACACATTTCCCATGCGAAATGGCTAAGAGCAGTAAGGACTGATCAGGGACCCCTTGGTCCTCCCACGAAGCTATAGATACCGTTCACATGCTAGCAATCTATGAACACTCCGGGGTACCTTCTTGTCGTGGTAAACCGCTAAGTTTCTAAGGGAAAAATTAAGTCTGACTAGAGCGGCACATCGCTCCTAACAAAAATTTCCTACTCTTATCCTAGAAATGGGCCCTAGCAATTAACCGAGGGTGCATGCAATCTTCTTCTAACATCATAGTATGTAATTCATGCAAACTAGACATACCGGCTCAACGGGGCAATGACCTCCATCAAGCACCCAGAGCACGAACTTCGCGCTCAATGGGGCAAATTTGTCCATCAAGCACCCGAAACCCGGCATACACAATTCTAACATAAATTAACGCATGTATACATACAGCGGAAGCTTAAAGCATACAGCAACACTCATGTAATTTACCCAATACAATCACAACAGTAATCTGACTAATAATTTACATGGAGAGCTAATATGAAGCAGAACTACTAGCATGCATGCAATCTGAGCGAATCCTACAAGTATTTCTTTCTAAATACCGGGTGGTGACTTACCTGGTTGACTCGTGCCCTTTTGCTAGCGTTTCTTTGCCCGTGAGGTGTCCAAAAATACTGATTTCTCTAAATTAGGTCCCTATTCATGAAAAAACAGTATTAGAACTGGAACCGGGACAAAAATTGGGCAAACAAAAAAAAACCGGGCCAAATTGGCCGTTCCACGCGCGCTCATGCGCCAGCAGTGCGCTGGGAGTGCGTAGCCACGCGCGCAGGAAGGCGCCAGTCGCAGGCTGCACGCGCGCCTGCCACACGCGCTTGCTTCCGCATAGTTGCGGTCGGCTTGGTTCGCGTCATGGTTCAGCCCGGCTTGCAGGCGACACATGTCGATGCATCGCTGGAGTTGCGTTGCTCCAGCCGATGGTCGACGCGTGACTGGCGCTTGTCGCCGCCCACCGCCGCTCGCCGGCCGTTTTTTTTTTTTCTTTCTCTTTCTTCTTTCTTTCTGTTCTCTGAAAACTGAAACCCAGTCTGTTTTTTCCGATTTTCATATCTTTCGATCCGTAGATTGGATCGATATGATTCTTTCGGCAAAGTTTTAGATCGTGTTACAGGCTACGTCCTAGTATTTTTTCTGTAATTTTTTCTTGACTATCGGATGATTTAAGAACGTCAGAAGTTCGCTCACCGTTCTCGAACGACTCTCGAATCTCCGCCTTTGGGTTGAGGTCTCGGCCAAACTTCTTCACAGACCGTGCGTGAGTTGTTCCTAGGTGAAGATTTCAGTATTTTAGGATCGATTCACGTAGGGAAAAACTCAGATTTGAGCAATGTCGTTCAGAAACCTTACCTCGCGAAATGTTCTTAGGTTTTGACGGAGCGTCGGCCTTGCTAGCCTCTCAATCCTTGTACGAGTCTCGTCTGGAGATGGATTCCGGCGGTGGTCCGTTAATCTTCCCGGCTGACTCCTCCCTGATTTCTCTCTAACTCCTTTCTTTTGCAGGAAATCTAACGGGGTTCTCCTTGGACCCCTATTAGGGCTGGAGGGGCAAAATGACCTTTTTGCCCCTCAGTTGACTTAGCCCCCCGTTTTTTTTTTTTTTTGGCGTTACATCTATCAATCCCGGACTTTCTTTTTAATTGAAGAGTATGTAGCAAATACCACATTGTTGTGTAGTCTTCTTCTACTTTGCCCCACATCTTATCCATCAAATAAATTTTTTTTTATTGTTATATGAAGGTTGGGTGAGATTTTTCAAATCTAAATTGTGACAACTACAATAGAAGTGATTTTACAAATTTATCCACTCAGTGAAATTTTAATAATATGAAAAAGAGAATAAATAACAGTTCCGTATCAATTTCAATTGGGCTTTCATATTTCACAAAGGTAAAAAAACAAAAAAAATTTATCTTGTAAGTGAACTTCCATCTTCAATCTTTTGTTATTTTCTTTCTTCTTTGTGGCACATAGATTTTCAAATAAGTGATCATATTCGAACAAGTTTGAACAGAATTTGATGTCAAAGAGGACGATGAAATTGACGAGGAAGAATAACATCAACAACACTTTGACTTTCAATAGGAGATCTTCAAACAATGTCCAATAAATTCACAAGCATATCTAGACACCATTAATAGGATTTCTTTAAACAATATGAATAGGATTTGTTGGGTTTCATATGTGTTATTTTATTTTTTTGTGTAATATTTATGTTGAGATATATGTAATGGTGTAACAACGGTTGGTTGTGAAAAAAAAAAAATCTCTCAGAAAACCATGAGATTTCTAGCGAGACAGCGGAGATCTTGCGATGGAAACCGCCCACGCTCCCTCCTCTTAAGCCCGTTACCATTCACTGCCTCAACCACCCAACTTACCCTCTATTCCCACCCTACAACACATACACGCTGAGAAAGAAGGAACTCCAATAGATTTGTTTTGTTTTTCTTTCCTTTCCTTGCAACTCGTCAGCATCATGGACGTTACTAACCGAGAGGGAAGTCACAGTGGTGGAGATGGTCGACAAAGACACGCAAACGATTGGTAAGAACTTGTTCTCCTAAGTTATCTGATTTCAATTTTAAGAGAAGAATTTTAGGTTCTTATCTTTTCTCAAAATTACCAATGTGTATAGGTTCCGTAAAGTCACGACCACAAAAGAAAGATCACTGGAGCAAGTAGTGAGTGAGGATGTGCACCTAGGCCATAGAAAAACACAAAAGGCGTGGAGGAAGAGCGTGAGAGATCTAGGGAGGAAAACAAACCCGCCAAAGTCAGGTTAAAGTGAAGGAATCTGCTGGTCAAATTTTGGGTTAGATCTAGACGCGGGTCGGGTGTTATCCAGTTCTTGTGTGACCCAAGTCTAAAACATAGCCCATACATCCCCATTCCCCAAACGTAGTACACCAGTGTGGCATGACCCACCTTGCGATTATAGTAGGGCGACCCGAGACCCATGTGTTGACCCATTACCCGTGCGTTGCCTCAAGAATTTGACTGTCCCTTCTTGCCACGTGAAATGTGCGTGACGAGCCATCTCTGGTACTTGGCTCACTGTGGCTCAACGAAAAATGATCGGCTTCGTCAAACTCGTGCCTTGGCTCGATCTTATGCTCGACTTGTGGTCGGTATGGCGTATCTGACGACTCCAAGCGATCACCTCCGTCCATGTATGTTATGCTATGTATTTAAGATTTGACAGGAATTGTATATGCATAATTTAAAGATTAACTATGCTATAGTTAAATGGAGGTTTGATTTGCATCATAAATTTATGCCATGATTTTAAGCTCGGGGACCTCATGCATTTTTGTAAGCCATATGCATCGGGATACTATCCTGTTATGATTATTACAAATGTGTACCTTACGACTTACGATATTTATGCTCTCCATGATGTTATGCAGACCCTTTTTCTCCGTTATTTTTGGCAGCCTGTTAACAAGTGCTAGCCCGACGAGCCTAGCCTAGGGGTATGCGAGTCTACCTGTAGGACAATGTTCGCGTGTGTGGGCCATGTGTAGAGAAGTACTACACATCAAACCTTGCCTCGACTAGAAAGCTGTCTAAGACCAGCCATGATATTTTTAAAATGATAGGTCTCACCATATTCCGTGTGTTTCCATTCCCCGATACCAACACTAGGGTCCCTTACTGAGTATTTCTTAAAATAGTCAAAACACTTACTACTCTCATTTTTTTCAGGTAAAGGTAAGACACTCATATACAGATGATGACATGACGATGAAAGGCATCACGATGAAAGGCATAGAAGCAATGCTACGATAGTTGCATTTTGTGTATTTTGTAGCCCTTAGGATAGATTAGAGCATTGTTTTATTTTTCTTATTGGTTTCAAATGTCTTGTTATTTTTTTTTCTTTATTGTTTTCTTCGTCGTTTTAAAGATTTTACTACGAATGTTTAAGTTTATGACATCATTCTTGAATTATTTTAAATGAATGTTTCTGAATTTAATAATCGTGTCATGCATTTAGTAACGACTTTATTGTAGTAAAAAAATAGAGTTATTACAGTTGGTATGAGAGCTCGAAGGCTATAGATTCTATAGACTAGCCTATGAGATAGGCTAAACATGTTCCATGACCTTACCACTTATGCTCTGTCGTCATCAGGTATGTCATACGAAAGATAATAAATGATTATGTCGAATGTTATTGATAATTGAGTTATATGTTTGATATAATGTTATGTATAGTATGTTCATGAGGGTTATAGACTTGGAGTATTGTGTGTTTGTCCTAGATCATGTCACCTATAGGACGTACAAGAGGATGTAGAGGAGGACAACACCTTGCAAGAGGACGAGGCAGGTAGAAAAAGTCCCGCTTGCGAGGAATCTATGACTCAAACAGAAGCAGTAGTGGCACCTCCTATGGCGCCTATGAATGGATTGAACCCCATAGTAACTTTGATGTGAGAGTCATTCAAGTCATGAAATAAACAATGGTGACCATTCAACATGCCAACAATGCAATGCCAACAAGAAAGGTGAGGTACGTGCAGGATAACAGGAGGTAAAACCCTTGTACTTTTAATTGTTCCTTAGAGGATCAGATGGTGGCACAACTATGGTTGTCATTGATGGAGACAATATTTTGGTCATGAACTACCCGAATGTCATGTGCATTATTTGTGATTAGAACGATGCAGAGATATGGTGGGAGGACACTTGGGAGATCCTTATCCCTGACAAAGTTGTAGTAACATAGACCCAATTCAAGGAGGCTTTTTGGGGAAATATTAGTCGGATGTAGCCCAACTTTGAATACAACAAGAAATCACTTAGCTAACACAAAATAGACCTCTTTTGTTGGCTACAAGAGAGAAATCATGAGATTGAAGTAGTTTGCCCTTGATAATGTTGACATAGAGTTGAAGATGGCTTAGAGGTTTTTTCTAAGCCCGGACATCATAGCTCCTACCACCTATGCTACTATCATGAGAGCAGTTAAGGCTATGGAGAGAGCAGTCAAAAAACACCAAGGGCCAACAACATCGTCAATCACCTTAGGAAAAAAGTGAAGGTATAATCAGATAGAACTACACCGTCAACTACTTGTGCGCCAACTACAAAAGGTAGACAGTAACCATAGGGACCTGGGGCACGGTGAGCATTTGGGTCAATAGGGAGTCAGAGGAGATGAGAGACCTCGATCCAGCGAGTGTGGAAGGAAACATTAGAGATGGTGCTTAGTCCAGGCTAAAGCATGCTTTAGGTACGACCAAAAGGGTCACATGTCTATGAACTGTCTAGAAAAGAACACTAAAAACTCGGTTAACCCGACACGAGGCCCAAGTAGTATAGGAAGGCCTATACAGACCCGTTCCCAAGCAACACTTTCACCAATAGAGACGCTGGAAACTCTGACACAGTGGTGACAAGTACATTATTTGTCTTGGGGCATTTTACCCTAACTTTATTTGATTAAGGGTCTACGGATTCATTTATATCTATATTCTTTGTTAGTCAGGCAAGGTTTGAGTTAGAACTCTTATTGCATGTGTTATTTGTTAGTACCCAAGTAGGTGTAGACTTAGTTGCTACAGATAGAGTGAAAGCTGGACAAGTAGTAATAGCGAAATAGACCCTAGATGTAAACCTAATAGTTGTTAGTATGATGGATTTTGATGTTATTCTAGGAATGGATTGGTTGGCCGAGAACCATGCTAGCATAGGCTGTCATAAAAAGGAAGTAGTATTCTCGTCGCCATCAAGAACTAGCTTTTAGTTTAAGGGTACCTGCACTGTAGTTTTCCCTAAGATAGTTTGGATGATGAAAGCAAAGAGATTAATCTAGCAACGAGTCTAGGTAATATTGGTTAGTACGTAGATACAAAAAAAGGAAGAGCAGTTCTTGTTTATAGTACCGATAGTAAGCAATTTTTCTGATGTTTTGTCGAAGGATATATTAGAAGCACCCCCTTCCCGAGTTGTAAATTTCTGCATAGAGCTCGAACTGGGTACCAAACCTGTTTTCAAAGCCCTGCTTGGCGTCATGGTTGTACTTTTTCAACCATGTGACGTTGTAATCTTGACATGCTCATGACTAGTTTTAAGGGGAACCTAAGCACCCCCTTCCCAAGTTTTGAGGTTAAGGCTCGGTTCATTACCCAACCCTTCAATAAGCCTATTTGTAACGCTCATATTTACTCGTTGTTCATATCTTACTTATGCCTCGTCTCCTCTTCAATTCACACGTTATATGGTGTGTTGGATGATATATCCTCCTCCTCGATTGCATCATGCAATTCTTCTATATTGGGCCTCTTGTGGCAGATGGCACCACTTGAGGGGTGTTGTTTTGCTTGTCTCGACGTGAGGGTCAAACCTACTCTCTTCATAGTAAGGTTTTGAAAGAGCAACTGCAATTCTTGTTGGACAAGGGTTTCATCTATCCTGAGGTATCCTCTTTGAGTGCTCTAGTGTTGTTTGTCAATGTGAGATCCCACAACAGTTGGAGAGAGGAACAAAGAATTCTTTATAAGGGTGTGGAAACGTTCCCCCTAACAGACATGTTTTAAAACCGTAAGATTGACGACGATACGCAACGGGTTAAAGTAGACAATATCTTCTAGCGGTAGGTTTAGGATGTTATAGTAAAGAAGAACGATGGATTAATGTGTTTGTGCATCGACTTCAGGGAATTAAACAAGAGATCGTTGAAGAATAAGTACCCTCTTCCCCGTATAGAAGATATGTTTGACCAACTCAAGGAGGTCACAATGTTTTCCAAAATAGATCTTTGGCTACCACCAGACTAAGGTAGAGAAGAAGATGTGTCAAAGACAACATTTAGAATGAGGTACAACCACTATGAGTTTTTGGTTATGTCGTTTGGACTCACCAATGCCTCTGCGTATACATGGAGTCAATGAATCTAATATTCAAGGAGTGATTCAACACATCTGTCATCATGTTCGTAGACAACGTCCTAGTGTATTTGAAAATGGATTAAGAACACAAGGTACATCTCTGGAAAGTCCTGGTGATCTTGTGGGAAAATAAGTTGTATACCAAGTTCTCTAAGTGAGAATTTTGACTATGGTAGACTCATTCTTAGGGCACATGGTGTCGAAGGATGGGGTTTCAATCGACCCAACAAAGGTGGAAGTTGTCACCAAGTTGGTTCGCCAGACTGCAATTACTAAGGTACAAAATTTCTTATGATTGGTAGGGTACATCAGCGAATCGTACGAGATTTTGCCAAGATAGCCTTATCGCTCACGCACTTGACTAGAACTGGTGTTTCGTTTATATGAAATGAAGCATGTAAGGCTAGCTTCTAAGATCTGAAACAGAGGTCAGTGTCGGCCCTAGTGCTTCTAGAGAGCTTAGGAGGTTATGTGATTTATAGTGACACCACTAAGAAAGGTCTAGGATGTATAGTGATGCAAACAAGAAGGTGATCGCTTGTGCTTCCCACCAGCTATGGTGGTGCTTGTACTTAAAATCTGGTGGCTACTTGGAGAGAATTACCATATCTACACTGACCACAAGAACCTGAGTGTGTTGAGACGAGGAAGGTGAACGGGAGTTGTCAGGACAAGAGATAGTTCAAGCTACCAATGAGGCCATGAAAAAGATTAGAACAATAATGTCTATGGCTCAGAATAGATAAAAGAGCAACACCGATATGAGGCATATGAGTTTAAGGGACATGGTATTCTTGAAGGGGACTCCTGTGAAGGGCGTCCTAAGTTTCGGACGTAAAGGAAAGCTGAGCCCATACTTTATCGAACTATTCAAAATCTTAGATCAAATCTATCAGAACTCAATTTTCGAGGCTTCGAAAACTTGGACTGTGACCCAAACGGCAAAAAAAAAAAAATAATAATAATACAAATTAATAATATTATTTAAATAAAAAATAATAAAGAGAATTTTTTTCAAAATGTTACAAAGGGGATACAAATTAAACCAGGAAATACAAAAGACTCCAAAAATTATCCCCTCTGTGACCGCACAGCTCTCAAACGTTCCTCAACCTCGATCGGTAGACTGCGAATACTTGAAAAAAATAGGAAAACTAGGATGAGTATCAAAATTATACTCAGTAAGCCACCTACTTGTAGGCTCTCATCGCATCCCAAGCTTAACAAATTCCCACGGACTTCTCTTTGAGTATAGGACGTCTGGGTCTGGTATTAGGCCCTTGGGGCTTCTTCGGTTCTCCATCCTTTCATTTAAACCTTAAAAGTTCCTTATGCCGAGCTTTAATGACCCGTGGGCGCTACATTTGCATGACATTCTGAAACTATATGGTATCTTACCAGGGGGTGTGCTGAGTACCTCCTAGGCCCATGATAGACCACCTTATTGGGGGGCGTGACCCCTCCTTTCCCAGCTAGTGGTCTGTAAGACATGGGGACACATTTTCCATGTGAAACGGCTAGGAACAGTGAGAACTGATCAGCAGCCCTTGGTCCTCCCACGAACCTACAGATACTGTTCACACAAATTGTGGCCTAAGAACACTCCTAAGGTACTTTGTTTGCCGTGGTGATCTGATAGGCTCCTAGGGAAAGGTTAGGTTTAGACTCAGTGACTTGTCACTTCTAACCACTAATCCCTAGGCTTATCATATTATTGGGTCATGGAAAATAACTGAGTGTGCATACAACCGTCATCTAGCATTATCATACATAATTCATACAAAGTAAACATACATGCTCAATGGGGCGATAACACCATCAAGCTCCTAGAGCACATAGCTCTCAAATTCTCATCCTCTTTTCACCATGTATGAAACATATACATAAATTGGGGAGGCTTAAAGCAAACTTGCAACACTTAAGTAACACTAATAATACTTCACATAGTATATCCATACTCATAACAATCAAATTAACTACATTCAATCATGAAAAACTACCACCTAAGGTAAATGCATTAGCATGCATGATTTCAAGCGATCCCTACAAATATTACTTCCTAAATACTGTGTGGTGACTAACATGATTGATGTGTGACTTTCATTTAGTGTTTCTACACAAATAACATATCCAAAAATACTCATTTTGTCCAATTAGGTTCTAACACATAAAAATATGAATAGGATTAGAATCGGGATAAAAATAGAGCAAACAGAAGTCGAACAGGAAGGAAACTAACCTTCATGCATGCAACACACGCTTCCACTCACCGGAAAGATGCTCCATGTGCGATGCCACGCGCCCATACGGACGCGCTTGATGGAAGAGGACGCATGTCCTGGTGCTGCCACATGGAGCGCTCAAGTTGGTCAGCCGCTGATGAGTTATGGGTTCAAATCCGGAGGCGCACGCTGGGAAGTGAAATTCCTTATGTTGACGCGTGGCACCATGCGTATCTAATCAAACATCCTTTGAGTCAAACTGGGTCAGATGTGGGTCGGAAGACCTATCGTGTGTTGCATATCGAGTGGAGTCGCGTCGCTCCACAATGTGCCTGACGCGTTGTTCTACCCAATCGTTGACACGTGTCCCTCAGGCTGTCCAACGCACTTTCCCTCCCCGCAGGTTGACACGTGGCTTGCTGCAACATAGAATCTGATTAACTTTTTCCTCTTTTCTCATTTTCATTCTTTTGATCTAGACTTCATATGGATTTGTTTTATTCAATGAATTTTAGATTGTAATACAAACTTCGTCCTAATATTTTTCTTGAATTTTCACATCATCACATACTAAGTTATGAGCATTCAAAGTCAGTTCATTCACCTCCTTCTTGTTCTTGGAAGAACTCTTGAAAATCCGCCTTTAGACCAAAATTTCGACTAGGATTCTTCATGAATACTGTGGGGAATCCTTCCTAGAAGAACATATCGAAATCTTAGACCTTAACTCGTAAGAAATGGCTCATATCAGAAGAAAAACGGTGAAAGGTTACCTCGCGGGTCTCCTCGGTTCATGATAAAAAAATAGGACTCAAAATAAATCCACTTGATTTAAGACTTGGTGTAACCCAAGGACATCATTCTCATCATTCTCTTTGCTTTGCACACCTGAAAAAATACACCCAAAAAGTTCCAGAATTTTGTACAAAAAAACATGACCCCGTATCATGAAAAGATATTATTAAGAATTAATGAAATTGGTCCATGCAAGTGCCAAACCTATGACCTTCCCATTCTTAGCACGACACTCTAACCAACTAAGCTAATAGGCCATAAGTTTTATGCACATTACGGATCAATAGCTCTTAATCTAGTCATTATCTTTTAAAGTTTATAGTGCTTTAAGCACGTAACATTAAACATATCATTGAGAATTAATGAAATTCACCCAAGCAAGTGTCAAACTTATGACCTTCGCTTTTTGTTAGCAAACATTCTAACCAACTTAGCTAATAGGCCAAAGGTTTTAAGGTTTTATGTATAATAAAACATAAAACTTTCAAATTTTAAGTCATTATCTTTATAGTTCGTTGTGTTGTAACCTCGTATCATGAAATGATATTATTAGGAATTAATGAAATTGGCTCATGTAGGTGTTAAACCTGCAATCTTCGCATTATTAGCACGACGCTCTAACCAACTGAGCTAATAGTTCATAAGTTTTATGCACATTGCAGATCGGTAGCGGTAGCTCCTAATCCAATCTTCGCATTATTAGCACGACGTTCTAATAAACTTGGTTTTATGCACATTGCAAATTAGTATCTCCAATCGAGTTTAGTTTTATATTAGTAAGAATAAGTTAAATTGACCAATGCAGGTGTCGAACCTTCTACCGTCACATTATTAGCACGACGCTCTAACTTGAGAATATTTGTTAAAACCACCGAACATAAATGGTGGTGAACGTTCTCTATTTATAATGATTTAGAGAATAAATAATTATGGTAGATTACAGATAATATGAAAATAACAATAAAAAGAAAGAATAATAAATAAATAGAATATATTTGCTTTCAATAAAAAGGCAAATATGGTAAGCCGGTAGATATTTGCCTTTAATAAACGGTCAAATATCCTTAACACCTCCCGCTAGCCGAGCGTCGGATTTGAATGAACATGAAGCTTGGATCTGAAAAATTCAAAGAGAGGTCGAGAAACACTTTTTGTGAAGATGTCAGCAACATGGAGATGGAAGTTATTGTGTGCGAAGTTTGCCCAACAATAACAAAGATGGGAAGTTACATATTTTGTGTGAAGTTTGCCAGCGATAACAAGTTCTCGAAGGAAACGATAATCTAGTTCAACATGTTTGTCCAACTTGTGAGAAATGAGATTAGAGCTAAAAAAAATAGCACTTCTATTGTCACATAAGAGCAAGGGCTGCTGTGAAACAGGGACCTTGAGGTCATGCAAAAGATGCATAACCAAAAGATGTTCAGCAGCAGTTGTGGCAAGAGCACAGTACTCAATTAACAATTAGAGCATGAGACAGTAGGTTGCTTTTTGGTACTCTAAGAAACGAGATTGTTACCAAGATAATAGAATAGCCAGATGTAGAACGATCAGTATCAAGACAACCAACCCAATCAGCATCCGAATAAGCCACTAGCACGCTAGGAACACTGGATGGACGAAAGGCAAGACCAAAGTGGAGTGTTCCTTTGACATAGTAAAAAATAGGTTTGATAGCAAGAAAGTGATTTGCAGTAGAGACATGCAAAAATTGACTGATAGAATTGACAGCATAGGTAATATCTGGACGTGTAATGGTCAAGTACTGAAGGGCGCCAACAAAAGATCTATAGAGAGTAGAATCAGAGAAATGAGAACCATCAGCAGTCAGATGTTGAGAAACAACCATGGGAGTGTGGACTTTTTTGCTATCGAGCAACTGAGCACGAGTAAGAATATCTCGGGCATATTTTAACTGACTAATAAACCATCAGGAGTGGGTGAAGCTTCAAGACCAAAAAAGTAACTGAGAGAACCCAAATCTTTGGTAGCAAACTCAGAATGAAGCTTGCGAGTAAAACTGTCAATAAGAGATGAATTGTTGCCGGTAACAATAATGTCATCAACATAAAGAAGCCAAGTGTGAGAAGAAATGAGCTAACGCTAAAACCAGGTGTGAGGAGCTTGCTTTAAGCCATAGAGGGCTTTCTTTAATAGATAGACATGAGTGAGAAATGAAGGATCAATATACCTAGGAGGTTGTTCCATATGAACATGTTCAATAAGAGTGTCATTGAGAAAAGCATTCTTGACATCAAGTTATCGAAGATGCCATTTATTTGTGACCGCAATAGAAAGCACAACACGGACAGTGGTAACTTTGACAATCAGACTAAAAGTGTCCGTGTAGTCAAGACCAGGAACCTGAGTATAATCTTTGGCAACAAGACGAGACTTGAAACGCTCGATCGATCCATTAGGTAAATATTTAATACAAAACACCCGTCGAGGATATTGATAAAGTGCACTGGTTCCTTCATGAACTCGGCACTCGGCACCGATTTTTTAGCTTTTTCTACTGCGCTCTTCACCCTCTCCCCTATTTTCCTCACCCCTGTCCCCTGTTTTGCTATTGTGCTCTTACCCCTCTCCCCTATTTTGCAATTGAGCTTTAGTTGTTCTAGTGCTCCCTTAGTCTTCTAACTCCGCTCCTACGACATTCGCAGCCACTAATCGTTCTCATTCTCACAGAAACAATTCTTCCAACCGAGGACGAACCAAATATGCGGTCATTATGCTGACCGCTGACCCATCTATTTTGGATCAGTCTAAAAATTACACGTGTAAAGATTCTATGATAAATGGTGCATATTATTAAGAATTAATGAATTTGGCCCATGCAAGTACGTGCGACCTTTGCATTATTAGCACGACGCTCTAACTAACTCAGCTAATAGGCCAGAGGTTTTATGTACATTGTAGATCGGTAGATCCTAATCCAGTCATTTGAGATTATGTTACATAATTTTAGGTATAATAAACTTAATACTTTAAGTCATTATCTTTTAAAGTTTGTAGTGCTTTAACCATGTATCATGTGTCAAACCTACAACCTCCACGTTTTGTTAACAGGACATTCTATCCAACTTAACTAATAGACCAAGGGTTGCACATAACTTAGCTAATAGGCCAAGGGTTGCACATTGCAAATCGGTAGCTCTTAATGCCAATCAAGTTTAGTTACATATTTTTCTGCATAATAAAACGTAAAACTTTCAAATTTTAAGTCATTATCTTTAAAGTTCGTAGTGTTAACCTCATATCATGAAAATATATTATTAAAAAATTAATAAAATTGGCCCATGCAGGTGTCAAACTTACGATCTTTGCGTTATTAGCACGACGCTCTTACCAATTATGTCAATAGGCCATAGGTTTTATGCACATTCCAGATCGGTAGCTCTTAATCTAGTCAATCGAGTTTAGGTTACATAATTTTAAGCATAATAAACTTAAAACTTGTCATTATCTTTTAATGCTTGTAGTGCTTTAACCCTCTATCATTAAAGATATCATTGAGAATTAATGAAATTGACTCATGAAAGTATCAAACCTAAGATATTCGTGTTTTGTTAGCACGATGTTCTAACCAACTTAGCTAATAAGCCAAAGTTTTTATGCACATTGCAGATCAGTAGCTCCTAATCTAATC